GAGAGGGCTCCAACAGCAGGACAAACTTGTCTGTCGGTTTGTCCTACTGTGGTGACATGTAGACGTGAGTTTTGAGGCTGAGCCTCTGGTGTTAAAACCCAGCGAGATGCACCTGGTGCATAGGTAACAGCCAGTTTATAGACTGAGACAGACTAGGAAGAAGGAAGAGGCCACCCACTTCTGAAAGAATTGGCCAGGGAAAACCTTATGAATAGCAAAGAAAAGACACATAGTTTAACAAATTATTGTAAAGAAACACCTCAAATTACAAATACCCATTGCCAATACCCCCAGATGGCCTCCATATTTCAAACACAACTCCCTCCCTCCCCCTTAAAGGTAACCACATCAGGCCTTTTAAATAATCACCTCTGTGCTTTACTTCAGAATTTCACCACTTAACAACATATCCCTGAACCATATAAATCAGATTTACTTGCTCTGAACTTTATATAAATGGAATAATACAGTATGTATTCTTTTGGGTCTGACTTCCTGCACTGCATTTTCTAAAACATACCCATGTAAATGTTTATAAAATACTATGTTGCTGCATACAGCTATAAGTCATCACTGTTGTAGGTGCTCTGGTGGCATAATCTTAAGGCACTAAAATGTACTTATCTATTCTACTTTCCATAGATATTTCCATTGTTTCCAGGAATTAGCTATTGTGAACAATGAATGCTACAATGGGCATTTTTGAATATGCATCCTAGAGCACAAAAGCATGCATCTTTCTGTAGGCCACATTTCTGTGAGTGGAACTGATGAAAATAAGGCACACATATTGCCAACTATGATAGTGGCAAACTTTTCCAAAATAGTTGTCCATGTTACAGTCCCATAAGCAGCAATGTCCCGTTGCTTCACCTCAGGCTTTTTCATTGTTACCATCCTAGTGTGTTTATTATTGTATCCCATTTTGAGCTGACTTTGCATTTCTTGGATAAATATTAAGGTTGAGACATTTTTAAATGTGTTTATCATTTTATTTATTCTCTTTTGTATAGTGCTATTCAAGACTACCCATTTTTCTATTGTGCTATCTGTATTTTTTCTAACGATTTGAAAGAATTTTTATATCTGCACACCAGTCGTTTATTAAGGAACCCTGGTGGCACAATGGTTAGGCTATTGGCTGCTAACTAAAAGATTGGCCATTCAAACCACCCCTTGGCTTCAAAGGAAAAAGACCTGGTGATTTGGTCTTTCAAATGATTTGTAAAGATTACAGCCTAAGAATCCCTATGGGGCAGTTCTACTCTGTCACATGGGATCATTATGAGTTGAAATTGACTGGATGGTCTCTAACAACAACAATCCTTTATTAAGGAACCCTCATGGAACAATGGTTGTAAGCGCTCAGGTACTTATTGAGAGGTTGGCACCTAGTGGCTCTGCAGGGGAAAAACTTGGCAATTTGCTTCCATAAAGATATCAGCCAAGAAAACTCTATGGGGCTGTTCTACTCCATCACACAGAATTGCTATGAGTCGATATTTACTCAAAGGCCCCCAACAATAATCATTTATTAATTATACATATTACAAATACCTTTTCCTATAACTTTCTGTTACTGCTCTCAGTGATATCTTTTATTGTACAGTAATTTTTATTTTAATGTGGTATACTTTATTTTTTATTATTGTTATTGACTACTGCATTTTTTGACTTGCTTAAGAAATACTTCCTGACTCACGGTCATGAAGCTATTCATCATTTATCTTCTAAAAAGCTTTATTGATTTCCTTTTCACATTTTAGACAATAATTCATCTGGAATTTGTTTTTGTAGATGGTGTAAGAGACCAATTTTATTTTTTTAAATTAATATTCAGTTGTATCTGCAACATTTATTGGACAAAATTGTCATTTTCCTCTAACTACAATGCCTGCTTCTGTTTTATATAAAGACTTGATACACGCAGAGGTCATAACTAAGCTCTCTATTCTTTTCCTGTTGTCTATGAACCTTTACTCTTATTTTAATTGTAATATACTTGAACCTTTACTCTTATTTTAATTGTAATATCAGGAAGAATCTTTCTTTTCAAAGCTACATTGAAGTCCATGTGAAAGTTGGGGTTTTTGCTGATTACTCCTTACTCATTGGATGGAGCTCTTTGTAGTTCACAGTCCAAAATGGGGGATGATTTACTACACCATTAGCCTTCGCATGTACAGAAAATAATCTAAATTTCATCTTTCACTCCCGGACACAAGGTATAACCATCAAAGAATAGAAAGTCAAGTACATAGCTCTGAATTTTAAGTCCAAGATCCTGAAGGCATTATGGACTCATATGTTGGGGAAAAATAAAGATGACAAAAGGCTTAAAATAACTTTAGAACTCCTCTTTTGCCAATAACATACCCAAACAGTTTGCAATAAAACAGGCACTGAGAAGTGAGATGAAAAGAACAGCAATGGTCCAAACAATCAGCTCGGGATGTCGGTATTCTTCTATAGCGTAGAAAGAAAAATAAAAAGTTATTCTTTCAGCCACATGAACTATGAAAGTCAATTCTAAGAAATAAGCTAAATCTGAGAACACCCAGAATAGACTAGGTCTTAGAGATTCCCTCTGAACAAGTCAGTTTTATCACTTACTGGTAAGTACATAAATAAGAAGTAAAATGGAAAATAATTTTAAAAAATAATTTTGTAGTAGGAAAGGATTTTATAAGCAAGACCAAAAACATAAAAGCCATAAAAATGGATCATTTGGCTACATAAAAATGAAAACTTTGTTAAAAACTGAAACAATACTAAAAGACAAGTAACTTATGGGGAAAAAAATGCCACAATATTAGTATCCAGAATCTATACAGAATTTTAAAAATCAGTTGGAGAACAAGAAAACTTTGAACAGGAAATCCACTAAAAAATGTAAATAGCTATTAAACTGATAAAAGTATGCTAAATTAGGGAAATATAAGCTAAAGTATTGTATGAGTTTTCACATATAAGTTTTTTAAATATACACTGAAAACACTCAGTGTTGGCAAAAAAGTAAGAACTATTGATAAGGAAGTATGTGCTGTTCCTAAAACTGTAAATAGAAAGCTTTTAGGAGAAGTAATTTAGCAGCATTTATCAATTTTTAAACACATTACATTTGCCACACCAATTTGAAATATTGTCCTATAGATATAATTGAAATTATTTCTATAAAAGAATGCTCATTGCAGTACTTATGGAAAGTGAAAAAACAAACACTGGATCCTAATACTTACATGTGTGTACACGTAAGTGTATACATGTATACACATGTGTATCATCAACAGTAGAAAGTTTTAATTAAGTATAAATTCATGCAATGGAATTCTATGTAGCAATGAAAAGAATCATGTACATCATATGTGCTGACATAAAAACATACTTCCAGACACACCTTTACAATAAAAGATTTTTTCAGGACCATTCTACAGTGTTCCATTGAAGTTTGCTGAGGTGAAGTAATGAGAAGAGAAACTGTTACTTTAAATGTATGTATTTTTGCATTACATGTTTCTCAAAAATTCTATAAAAAGTTTTATATACTTCTCAGAAATTTTGTTCAATATTCTCTCAATACATTTGGGAGGGGTAGATATGTCTACTTAAATGTATAAAGCTGAGACAAAGTCAGACCGCAGATACACTATGAGCCCGAGTTCATTTTCTGTACCTTTTTCTCTCTCCTCCCTTCAAAAGAATCTTCCCAGACTATTACGGTTCCTTCCATACTGCTTCTCTTCCACATATTTTGTCTCCTCTCTTGGTCTAATTTATATCTCATAAAGAAGTTTCTGTTACTCATCTTATTTAAATCTCTTTGTTGCCTTCCTCCCACTGAAATCATCCTCATTTCCTTACATCTCCTCCTCTCCATCATCATCTTCAATCTTTACAACTATCATCAATTCATGTTTTCAAATTTTAGTCATAAATCTATTTGCTTTTAAAAAATGAAAACAAAAAATGTACTCACGTTTACTTGGATGTTCTTCTGCCACCATTGTGTGCTAGATTCCTTGTTGTCCAGTGGTTGGGAGAACCAGGATCATTTTATATTTTTCCTCAAGATATTTTTCCTGTATCCTATGGATACAGAGAGTATGTTCAGAAATATTTGATGAGATTAGAAAGATACCAACATAAAATTGTTAACTCAAAAGAAGAAGTCTATCTAAAGACTGTGGTTTCCTTTGATTCACTCTGGGAGATGGGGCAAAACACAAAGGAAATTGAGAAAGCAACACACAAAAAAACGGTTAGTTGTGGCTTCCATGTGTTTATTGAGATCACTTGTTCAGTGAGTCATATGGAATTTCTCACTATGTTTTTATTTATTCAAATGAAAATATTTAACAACTTACTGCATGCCCTAGAAGAAATTATACCTGATAGAAATTTAATAAACATTCCCTCATCTTTGTTTTCCTTGATATTAAATTTTCAAAGGCAGTTATATGCTTGAGATAAACTCCACCCTAGGTTTTCTAAGCTGAATGAGAAGCTATGCCCGAGGTATAATTAAGACAGCAAAAGACAACATGAACAATGACCAAAAGCTCTGTTAAATTTGTTTTGGAGTTGAGGGAGAGGTGACAGAACTTTTGATTAAATTGTAAGTTCTTCCTAGGTGAGAAATAACAGGTTTGTTAAGGCAAAAAAAAAAACAAAAACACCACAATATGACAATTTGTGATACAAGTATAATCTTTATCACAGCTGAAAGGTACTTTAGGTAAAGTGTTCAACTTGAAGGGATTCCAAGGCTAACTTTAAGGAATTTGACTATCAAAAATAATTTATCAGTATTTTTATTGTTACAATTAATTGGGGCTGTTTGAATCTATAGAAATCCATAAATTCATAATAATTTTCAAAAAGTAAATAACTTACATTAGTAATATAAAATATAGATAAATATTATAGGCCTTGTTTAATTGATTATGGTAAACAAAGAATTATTACAATATGTATATTAGTGTGTGTGTTTTATTTCTTTTATTAAAAGAATATCATAATAAGAATATTCACACATTGTGAATAATGTATCCAATATCATTGAACAATTTGTGAGAAGTTGTTGAATAGGAATCTGAATTGCTGTGTACGTCTTCACCAAAAATACAATAAATATTATTTTTAAGAATGAGTATATCCATTCCCAAACATAGGTGTTGTTTCTTTTAAGTAAAACTATACAATCACACCTGAAATGATGAGGCAAGTAATTCTGGGGAGCTAGTAATTTCTGTACCAAAAACAGAAGAGCTAATAAGCAATGGTGATTACACTTAATAACCAGATAAGTAGAAGCTAAGAGTTCACAAACAGAACTGAGTAGAAAAACGGTTAAATTATATGTAGCAAAATGATGAATTAGTCATATGTATTAAGAATGACAGCTAACAACACAACTTCACTTATACCCTAGAAGACAAAACTCCTATATCGTCTTGCACGTTATAGAAATACATGGTTTTATAATAAAGGTAACAGATGAAGCCAATGAGTTATGTAACAATATTCAAGCAAGATATCAGAAGGATAATATTCCTGGAAGAAACATCTGGTTACAAAAAAAAATAAATCTCATACGAAAAGTGCAGACTAAAATAGAGTATTTGATGTTCCACATTTAAAAATGAAAGTAGTTATCAGGCTAATCTCATCTCCAATAATGAATTGTTTGAAAAACAGATATTTTAACATTGATTTGGTGTAATAAAATGATTGCAGTCTTGAGAAGGAATCAACAAACATGATTAAAATGTAGAAGAAAGACACCAAAATATGCATTGCAATACCCATGATGGATGCACTATTTGGCTTTAACCTATAGAATATCAAATAACTGACTATTGACTTGAACATCTTCCTAGGATCACTGATCATGTGACCATATAGGAATAACATTAGTAATGTAATGACTATATATTCAGATTTCTTTTTCCTATATGAATATGCCATTTCAAATATGCATAAATATACTAAATGTAATTTTTAGTGAAAATCACATTGTGTATTTATACTTTGAAATTCCATCCGTTAGGGTGAAAATGCATATTAATATTTGCCAGAATAAACTGTTGTTATAAATAACAATGATGATGATAATTGTTAATTTTATATTAAATATTACTAAGACTACTGAAATGAATAATACTGAATATAAATATTAAGAGAGAATGTGGCAGCCAAATCACTTTAGGAAGAGCATAGTCTCCTTTTTTGCAGATTTTTTTAAATTTTAAATAACACAAGGTAGAAAGATAGAGATTAGATTAGATTAGATTATAACCCTATTATTTGTAAAACTGTTTGGTAGACTAAAGTAACAATAAATTTCACTTAAGATAGGTTTTTTTTTTAAATCCCCTTATTGAAATTTCTTCATTTCTTTACAAAGAGGAAATCTCTCAGCTCTGCAGGAAAAGAACTTGATGATCTGGTTCTGTAAAGATTATAGCTTAGAAAACTGTGTGGGACAGTTCTACTCTGTCACGTGGAATTGTTATAAGTCAAAATTGATTAGAAGGCACCTAACAAGATACAATAAGAATCACAATAAATCAAGAATGCCACACATAATTAAGGATAAACAGCATTATTTTCAATAAAGGAAAATGAAGTACCCAATAGATATGTTTCTTTCCAAAAACTTGTTTGCAAGAGTTTCTTGCAGTCCAAAAGCTAAGAGTGTTACAGAATTATTCCTGTACTATATGATCAAGCACTTCTAATCTAATTACTAAAAAGTTTGTATCTAATAAAACTCTTGCAATACACAATGGAGCTGTATTCACCTGGAGCAACAGAAGAAGAAAGAGAGTCAGGAATAGGAGGAGGAAATGGAATGTATGGCTAATGGATTCCATAAACAACTGCTCCCTTTGCCATTAGACAAGAACAGGATGGAGACCAGCTACTATTACTGAACATTTTGATTAAAGATTCCATAGAATAATCCCAATAATAATGGGGGGGAGGCGAGAATATGTAGAACAGAATTTCAAGTTGTCATAGAATCCAGATTTTCTGGAACCATGGAGGCTATATGAACCCCTGGAACTATTGCCCTGAGATAATCTTTAAACCTTAAACCCAAAATATGCCCTGATGTATTCTTAAAACCAAATAGTAATTTAGCTTAATTATTTAATAGTAAAGAATTTAAGTCTTAAGCAATGTGCTCTTTTAAGATTTATAAACTGAAAGCAGCAACTTTAAAGATCAGATAGGAAATTTAGGGGGCAGTGAGTTTATGTTAATGGCGAAAGAATAACTGGGAAAGAGAGAGTGAGATCGGTCATACAACTTGAAGAATGTAATCAATGTCACTGAATTGCACAGGCACAAACTGTTGAATTTGAGTACAGTTCTGCTGTGTATATTCTCAACAACAACAAAAATTAAATAAAGTACAAACAATTATTTATTATTGAATATCAAATAGTCATCCTATGATGTGATATCTTACTTTGGCCTCAGCTCTGTCAAATTCTGATTTTTACATTTAGCCATTCAGCATCCTTGGAGAAGGATGTCATGTTTGGTAAGGTGGAGAGTCGAAGAGAGAGGGAAAAGCCCTCAATGAGATGAATTGACACGGTGGCAGCGGCGATGGGCTCAGGTATAGCAAGAATCATAGAACTAGCTCATGACCGGGTGGTGTTTCATTCTGCTGTGCATAGGGTTGCTATGAGTTGGAGACAACTCAACGGCACCTAATAACAACAAAAACATTCAGTATTCACTTATGGAACAAATATTTATAGAGTTCCTACTATTTGCCAGTCAATACTTAGGCCAGCATTGTCCATTACAACTTTCTATGATAATAGAGCAATATGGTGGCCACTAAACAAATGTGACTGTTGAACACTTTAAATATGGTAGTGGAGACTAAGAAAATCAATTTTTAATTTATTTAATTAATACTTAATAGTCACTATTGACTATTGTTTACTATTGAATAGTTGACCTCTAGACTCTTGTGATACATAGAAAAAAAATAGGCAAAAATTATTGACCTCATAGCACTTAAATTCTGATAGAATGAGACAGTTTATGGCAAATGCCATAGTATGTTAAAAGGTAATAAGTGCAATGAGGAAAAAGAATAGAGCAGGGCAAAGGGGATTGGATATACTGGATATGGAGTACTTAATTTTAGATAGATGAACCTGGAGAAACCTCACCGAGAAGGTGACATTCAAGCAGGCACTTAAAGAAGGTGAGAGCCATTTGGATTTCAGAGAGAAGAGCATTCTAGGGAGAAGGAACAGCCCAGTGCAAAACCCTAAAGAGAAAGTTTGTCTGGAATTTTCAGGGATTGCAAGCAAGCCAGTATAGTTACCTAAATATGTGTCTGGTGTACCTCCATTGTTGTTGTTGTTGTTATGTGCCGGTAGAAAACAGTCATATATGCCCTGTCATGGCGCAATAAAAAGGTTGGGTTATTTTTTTTTTTTGAAGTTAAAATTTAGAAAAGGCAAACATCCTTTTAAAGAATGACATATATGTCTAACAGAGTTACTAAATTTATTAAGATGTTGATCAGACCACCACCAAATATATAAACTCAAGCACAGGAGTAGAGATAAGGCTATGGAATGTGAGCCTAAGGGATTTGCTAGAGAAAGGGACACAGGACAAACTGCTTTTCAAAATTTCACAATGCACTGTGAAGTCTGTTGGTTGAAAACATTCCAAGCTGCCTACTCTATTAAGCTGTATATTCCCCTCCACGCTAGTTTTCTGCCATCTTAATTTCAATGGCCTCTGAGAAAGACTGCGCCACAGCATCTCACAGGTGACTTGTGGATCTGAGATGCAGGAAGCATTTCAGTCCTCTATTTTGTGTCATCATTCTGCAAAGAACAATTATTTTGCCTTCAGAATTCTTAGGCTCATCCTAATCACACAATGGAAAAAATACATAGGAAATAAACATAACAGGGAAATTCTTGATGAAGAAACCAGAGCCAGAAAAGAGACAGAAACA